GCGTGGATGCGCACTTCATTTGAACGTGGTGGCTCCTGCGCTTTTGGTGAGATCTCAGCATTCTGGGACGAGTGGAAACAGTCCTTGTACAGCGCAAGACAAGATGATAGTGGTCCCTAATGGAAATAAACAACAAAAATCGTCGTACACCATGTGCAAATGGAGAACGCAGCTACGCCCCTTCATCTCCAAGATATACACTGTGAAGGGAAGAAAATATTGGTGGGGTCCCTAGTACCTGTCATGAAGAAAACCTGTGAATTATGAACCCACTTGAATGATCCTCTCAAGCACGCGTTTTTCCACGATTTCTCTCTCAATAGTAGACGTTCGACTCTTCTGTAAATCAGAACAGCATCTTTTACCTAGTGGAACTTATAGTTTAGTCACAACCAGCCGAGGCGGTGTCAGAAGGGGTGGGCTGAGCCCGCTGCGAGGCGATTTCTACCAATAGTAACAGGCTGGTGTCAGGAAGGAAGTTGATCAGGAAGAAAACCGGTGGTAGAGCAGGCCACGGTCTACCACTGGTTGTGGCCCGTTCAACGGCTCCTGACACAGCTCCGACTGATTGCGACGATATCAACTGTTCAACCTAGGAGGTTATGGTTGGCGTCCCCCTAATAGAGAAATCCCGCAATAAAGGCACCCACTGTTAAAGAATTCTCGTAAAAAAGCTCAGAAATAGAAATTTATGGTTAGCTCTAAATCTCCAGACTTACAGGTCTAGAAGTAGGTTGTCTTGCAGTTGAGGTACCCGCATCCTGCAACGCAAAGAATATTAAGAGAATTATGTTAGTGCAATCTGACTAGCTGGTCGCGAATAGTTATCAAGTCAAGAATGACGTGAAACTTTTGAAAGTATGTCACAAAAAGATCAAACACTGCGGCTAGGCATGCGTTGCATCGACGGGGGGATGGATACGTGGGCCCGCTCGACTGCTCCTTGAGTTGTCAGTCTTTAGCGCTATTCGACTCTTTTCAAGGCAACACAATCGCGTGAGGTTGCTCGGAGGACTGGATTCTGGCTGTTGCCTTCACCTTGGGTGGTCACTGTTGTGAAAGCTTCGCGGTATCAAATGTCTAGCAGGACTGGGGTGTAGCCGCTGTGAAAGGAAAAGGAAAAGACATGGCTCTGGACAAAAAAAACAGTTATTAAGAGAGTCTGAAACCTCTCAAACTGCTGACAGATTCTCTGTCGTTAGAAACTGTCTTTTGGTGACTAGAGAATTGCACTTATACTCTGCCTCAGTGGCAGGACTACTTGGTGTTGTTTGCTCACCTATCACTGGCCCTGACAACCTTGAATTACTACAACAACTGTACTGAGGGAATGGCACGTTAAAGCCAGCGTTCAGACTGTCGCGATGACGCCGCGAAAACGTGCCCGTAAGCAGGTACAGCACCTGATGATATGAAATGGTGTGTAGGTAGCGACCCCGCTCCCTATGAAGAGAGTGTGTCAGAAACGGTTCCCTCCTCCGTCTCCCAACACCTAGTCTACGATTTCAATCAACATTTCCTCAATGTGAAATGAGAGGAGTTTTCGCTGTTTCCCAACTTTTCTGGCCCTTTTTTCCAGAATTTCCTGAAAAATTTTCCTACTCTTTTCCCCAAAAAATTTTGCTGGTCGAGCGGGGGAGGGAGTGGGTGGGGCGATGTAGTTCAGCATGAAACAGAACAAAATCGCGCGAAAAGGCTCAACGACTAGAAAAAAAACTTCTTTCCCAACGCAGCCAATTCTCTCTAAGCGCACATACGACCCTCTCCGCTCCCGGTACGATCCAATACGTATCCCGGAAATGTTCGACCCACTATTTGGTTTCACACAACGCTGGCTGCCTAACCTGGCTGTAATGGCACTTGTGGCCTTGCGTCAGGCCTGTTATCAATTGCTAGCCGCGCTCCAATGCAATAGACGGTAAAAGCGAACGTCACAGATGGATTTCAAATTGGCAACCGCTCGCTACTGCTTGGGAGACTGTGGGCTACTGCTTGGGAGAGTGTGGGACAATAGGAGGGTACGCTGCATCATCACAATGTCTGGTATCGATCAGGGCTGACCGCTAGTGTTGTGGGAGGGCATAAAAAACAGGAGGATACTATGTAGACTGTGTGATTAAGCAACGCTACTTTTCTATTCACCACACTCTCTCAAAGCAGCAGCGACCGGCGCCGATCGATACCCTCTATGGCTGCGTTCCCGTCCATAGCTTTGGAGCACTGTTGCAATACTAGCGACGACAGCGCTTCGTCGCGAAGTCTGAACGCGGCCCAAGTTCAATCGAATGCCAAATACAGTACGATAAATACCAGTGGTTCTTCCAATATCTTATCTCAGGTAAGGGATTGCAGTGATTCGTTACAGTAAAGGCTAAGATCATTGAAGTTGCTCGATGTTATGGTCATCAACTTTGCATTCGGGCGCTTGCTATTTTGGAATAAAATTGGGCGAAATGGTGAGCCAAGAGGAACCACAGTTAGGGGATGTGAGCGCGCGCAAACCTTCAACCAGTGCTTTTGCAGGATATAGCGCTCTTGATAAGGGGCTACGAATTCAAAGGTGTGGAGCGCCGTAACAGACTGAACGAGCTACACTTTCTGCTAAAGAAGCTGAAGGTAATTTAGCCTCACTGGCTTCGGAGTCGGCTCGGCAGCTGTGAGTGTCCCCTCGTCCTGCAAGAAGAAGGTTATCATGGCGGCGACAACCAGTCTCTTCCTGATCTAAAATACCAGTTGAAATCGATCCTTACCGGTCTTGGAGTCGGCGCAGCCGCTGTCAGGGTGCCCTCGTCCTGCAAAGGTTATAATAGCGGCGACAACCACAACCTTCCCAGTATAAAACTCCGAAGTCACTTACTGGTCTCGGAGTAGGCGCAGCCGCTGTCAATGTGCCCTCGTCCTGTAAAGAATATCATTATGGCCACCACAGTCACAAGAGCAATCACAACTGCAAGGAGTCCAAAACGGTGCAGCCGCAGAACACCCCGGTACTCTCTCTCCCCGTGTTTGCTGGTTCAGCGCTTTGACTCAACCGTCGTTAAGGCTGCTTCTTACTGTTAATGCAGTTTGGCTCGGCCGCTCGTGATAGAGTTTACACCTGCCGCCAGAATTTGCTCAGTTTGTCGACTGGCGCGGTAGTACACGGCAGGGCCATTTAAAAACTCCACAGCATCCACTAAAGCGTATCGCCAAGTTAGTAAAAAAGG